ATCGCTAGCGCTCAGAGCTTCCGTGCTCTAGCTAGATGGGCGCTTTCATCCACCTTCCGGCGGGTAGCCTCCCCCACCGTCCGCAGAAAAGTCGATGAGAGTAGTAGTTTTTTGGTTCCAGGCCTGTTTTCTGCTGGCCCCCGCGGCTTCCGCCGTGCCCGCCAGTCCCCCGCTCTCCCGAATCTGGGTCAGCTAACGGCGTGCTTTCCACTCCGAGAGCACCTGTCTACGAACTCGACGCCGTGCTGACGCCGCTGTCCGCGCCACCCGGTCAAGATCAGCTGTTTTTTTTTTACAGCCGTGTTGTCCACTACCTAGAAAGCAAGGAGTACATTGAGGGTGCTGGTGTCTTGTCGCGCCCAATTTTAGTCTTGTCGGTATGCTATCTCCAAGGCCCTCTGCGTAGCGGGGGTTCCGTCCATACTTACTCCTTGAGCTTGACGGATCAGGCCCTGCGTAGCCGTTGTGATGAGGGGGGGCTATAATTTCCAAATTTATTGCTGCGCCTCAGGCGAGCTTTTGGAACGTGGGCGCTCCCCCTTGTGCCTAAACTCTGTGCGTCAAACTGCTTACATCTGGTCGTAAGTTTGAATTTGCAATTCAAGGAATGGGGCTAAAGCGATTTTATTCCGAAACTCGCCCCCTGCGTAAGTTTTTACCAGTCCTCGCTTAGACGTAGTGGGACTTGTAAGAAGTCTGCTGAAATTCCCAAAATGAACTAGGTTTCTAGAGTGATCTCTGGCAAAAGGACTAAGGCGACTTGGATGGTCATTTCTAGTTTTCCTGCTGTCATCAGCTAATCGTGCCCCAACGTTGGGTCTAGGAGGCCAGAGCCTTGAAATTGGACTCGCGCAGTTGGGGCGTTTAATCTATTGCTCTCCCAGCTGGATCATGGTCCCGCGCCTATCAGGAATATTCGAAACCACATGAACACGCCGTTCGCCTTGAAGTTTGGATCCTGGTTAGTAAGGTGCCTTCATCCTGGGATTTCCCTCTGGAGCCTTTTACATCAGGGTATCAAAGTGAGACGGGATAATCGAGTTTCCCATTGTAAGCAGGGCTATACTACCGAACATCCCCACGTGAATTTTGAGTAAATATCGTACTGAAAGCATTTCGATGAACTTTTTTTCTCTGTCCGACCAGACGCTGTTAAACCATGCTTTTCGCATTTCCTCCCTTAAGTTCGTGAACAGACGGGAAACCTCCCAACTCCGTTGCTCTCACTCAACTTTCCGTGTCCATTTCGGACTTCTTTGCTTGAAGGTACGTTGCTCACAGTGAACCTTAAAAACTCCAGTTCCTCTCTTCGAAATCGGCTCACCTCCATCTGGTCAGTACTGTTTATTGAGCATTTTTCGGATGACAGCCGTTCGTCTTAAGCGTCACGAGGTGAATCATTCTTCACGTGGCAGATCAAGTAGCACGCTTCGGCAAGGGGCAACAGGCAGTCACCAGTCACGCAGACCCTCCGTCAAAGGCGTCCAAGATGTGCTAGAAGTCCTCTTTATATTCGTCCATACCTTCGGCTAGTTACCTCAGCATCCCCACCACCGTGTGCTAGAAGTGGACGACACAACTTTCTGAAGCTCATTTCAGGTCGTTGAGGCACGCAACCGTGCCATTGGAGTTAGCCGCCCCCTCAGGCGATATAAGCGTGATCCAAGGTATCGGCACCTTTGACAAGACACTTTTAGGTGGCTACTTGCATACGCAGTATCTCGTATTCGTTTAAGAGGATGCGTTTGAGCGCAGCTCTGTCTTTTACTCTCCAAAATTGGCTCATGACGAGCGTCAATTAGGTCGTACTAGGGCTTCTTGGAACCCTGGTATGAATGCGTGTGGCACGCGTTGGAAGGAGGCTCACGCCGCATAATCCAGCTTTCCCAACCCCATCTTCAATCGGCCGACAGGCTCAGACGGACCACTGTTGCATGGGAGAGGGAAGGTGCAATCAGGCCGATACGGTGGTACTGTGTCACACGGCACTTGGGCGCATTCCTCGGTGCATATAATCTCACATGCAACGCACTGCCAGTCGTGGTTTAGGCGATCGCTGACTGCTGGTCAAGCTACACTGTCTCCTGCCTAATGTGACCTTAATGACGCTTGCGTGATGTCCGATACCTCCATCCGTCTTGTAGGGGCTTGCATATTGTGAAGTTGAGGCACAAGGTCGTGCCCTGGCAAGTGTGGATGGACTACTCAGTCTTGTCAGCCACTGTGGGTATGGCTAGGTCTAGTCGTGCTGACGTTTCTTGCCGGTAGAATAATGGTAGATGGTGGTGGAGGGGAGGTTGAGGTAGATGTGCGGCACAAGCCTGTTTCACTTTAGTAAAAGTGGCGCGCACGTCACCTTTGTGCTTTCGGGACAGTGATGGACTTCGTTCTTGGATGATGGTCGAACTGTCGCATGTTTTGAATCCATGTACTTGTAATGCTTATCTTTACTGAGAACATACTGGAGAGAGACTGCACGTAATAGCCCAAAGTTCCCACCCTCCCCCCCTCCGGTTCAGGGGGTAGACTCACTTCTGCGAACTTTTGTGAGTAAATCAACCCAGGGTTCCACCCCCAACCTAACCTTACAGGACCCCCGTATTCCATCGGCGACGACATCGGACTGGCCGCAGGTGCTTATGTACGGCCATGATTGGCGTACAAGGACCTCCAACCTCTCCTCCCTTCCCCTCCACCAATCCATTGTGATTTATGAGCTAAGCTACCTAAGCTAAAGGTGCGCGATAACTCACCAACTTGTTGATCGCGGTCGTGTGGCGATGTATCTATAACCTTTTTCCTCCTTCGACCCAAGGTAATGCAGATGTACTGTTCCGAAGGGAGGTTGTTGGATAAGACGGCTGCTGGCACGTAAGCGAATGCCCTAGAGCGGGGATAATTCCGCAAATTTAACCACCAGTCAGAAGCGTCCCAATTTTTTCAAACGAGTTCAGGTGGCCTAACTTCTGAATAATTTTCATCGTTTGACCTTTGCAAGACTGCAGGTTCAGCTCAAAACTTCCCCTTCCGTCCTCAGCTATCGTCATCGCTGGGAGTTGCACATTCACATCTTTTCATATTTGAAGGGGTGGGGCGGTCATAACTGAAATCTGTCGCAAATTTCGGTGGTTTTTGCTGACATCTCCGCTTTCGTCTTCTCGCGTTCCTCCAGCCACCAAAAGGAAGTCTCAATTAGTCCGTTTGGGTGTTTTTTGTCAAAAGAGGTTCCGGCTGAAGTCCTCCAAATATCGAAATCAATCATTCTCACAACGTCTCAGAACTGGGCGCTTCTTGGGCGAGACAAATGCGAGTAGCCTGAGATTATGAGTCAACATTGTTGACGTACTTGCTTCCTATCAGTAGGCGTGCTTTTATTAAGTTACATATTTCAGGCGTGTCGGCCGCGCGGGGGTGTAATGTATTCGACCTCGCTTTGGGATACCTTGTCTGCTGCTGTGCTGCCATTGCCATACCTCCCGCATATACTTACAGCTGACAATTGGACGAAGGAAGGGCGGTTATGCTGTAAAGTCCTTCATGTTATTGCTCACGTTCACATTTCCGCTCATCGGCCACTTAGCGCGCTTGCTACATTACTACGAGTGGGTACTCCAGCTATGTTTGCTTGAGTTGGCTTAGAGGCTCTGTCAGGATGACTTTCTTCTTCACTTTAACCGCCCCGAGAACGAGGCGCTGCAAGACTGTCTATATGGTCTCATTGCATTGCACCCCCCACACGGAAATCTTTAGTAAAAGGCGAAAGATCTATCCTTTGCGGACTGCGATTCAACACGCTTCCCATTATGCTTCTAATTGCATGCGCGCACAGTATTACGTGCATCATATTAATTGCGTAAGTACTATCCTAGGCGGATTGGCGCGGGTCTCCATTTCCTCGGTTTTCCTGCATCCACGGGTCTTTTTACTCCAGACCTCCTGCAGTTTCCGGTGCGATCGTGTACGAAAGGACAACTGCCGCTCCGTTAGGGTGTCCACCGATACTCCATCCACTGCATCAGTCGTGTTAACAGACTACTACCCCCAATCCCCCCGCCTTTACGAAACAGGCCGGTAGTATTTGATCGCAGGGGGGCCTCCCATATCGCGTTCCATGCGGCTACCGCGTGAGTTGGCTAGGCGCGTAGGCGTTGGGTGCACTTAATCGGTGTAGGTCTGCCCCGTCAGTGCACCTTTCTACGTACTTCACGGGCTGCACTAGCCATTCGTGGCTTACCCGTATAGACATTAAACCCAGTCGCTGACCTACTGTGTGGTCATCTAAGGCCGCTTGCCGTTTGCTTTCTTTGCCCACCGTACGGCTCATTTCCCCACCTTACACCCCACCACAGCTGGCTTGGGACGGCTACCCAACAATAGGGGTTTGGCCTTGCCTTGCACTTTCACGGGCTTAGGTATCAACCCGGGCCTCGGGATTTCTGTGCGGTTACCTTCGTTTTCTCCTTGCGCGTCGGCCGACTTCGTACGCCCGTGTGGTTGGGCGGTTTGGCTTTCCCGTTTTACGTTCATCATTCATCGGTTTGACGGTCAGCGTACTTACGGAGTAGACTTCGGATTGGTCACAACCGGCAGTTAGGATGTACATCGGTTTCTCATCTATCCCTTCAAATATTACGAATTCAATCCCGCTTGGCGCATTTTTGGCTGGGGTTATGGGATTAAACGGGAACAAAAATTCAGAGGCATAGTGAGGAATTCACTATTTCTGTGCGGAGTATAAAAGAATTACAAACTTTTTCTGCTGCACCAGTTTTCAATTCCAAAATGTCCTTTGCTTTGCCGTTCGATTGTTCTGCCTGCCTGTAATTCCGCTGGCTGCTAATACTGAACTACGTGTACAACATCATTACCATCTGACTGCTTACCTTTCTGGTCATCTGCAAATTATTTCGGTTTCCGAGTGTGCTTCTGAGACTGGATATGCCTGAGCCACATGGGACAGGAATCTTTCCAATGACTCTGCCAAATTACTTGCTTTGAGTCCGAACCAAAGTCGGTACTGTGCTTCATCGTGGTAGGCCTGCGTGCTTTTGTCGGTCTCTCAGAGTAGACTAGAAAACTATGCTGACCTTCGCCATTAACCACAATTCGACCATCCTACGACCTAAGTTCGTCCCATTGTCGAAAACTCCCACAGTAAAGATTAATCACGCGATTTCGATTACATATCTGCACTGCACAAACTGGCGTGGAACCAGAACTGACTAGAAACGACAGACCTTGTGGAGGAGACTGTGATCACTTTATATCTCACTGAACGTATAAAGGAATCCTCGCTGCACTAGGCATCGTGCTCCACGTGGAGAAAGTCGATGCCGATACCGATGATGTTAATATTTGTATTTAATGATGCGGAAGTGTGGCCGTCATGTAAATAAATGATCTAGCTAGCCTCAGTGAACATCCTTTGTCTTATTACATTGGAGGTAGATGAATCGGTGAAACATATCGTGCGGAAACCGTCTGTCTTGACCATACACGCTTTGTACAACCATATACAGCGTTGGTTGAGTCGTCGCGTCAGAGCAAGATCTCCGGTCCTGGCAGTTGGTTGGATGGTGGTATCAACTCTGCCTCTGCAGATTTGCTAAATTGAGAAGGGACTGTTGCCAGTTTTCGCTGTGCCGGCCACCTGCACCCTCTCCCGCCACTTGACTCGGTCATGATGCCTGACCCAATGGGAGGGGGGGGGAGGAGAGAGTACCGTAAATGCTGCGCAAGTCGCCGTCCCTGCCCTCACCCTGCTGTAGAGCACACGGCGGACATCGTCGATGTCGACGGTCGAACTGTCGTCGTCGGTCCGAGTGATTAAGCACAAAATCAAACTTCTTTTGCATTGAAAGGTTCTTTATGGTGCTATTTCTTTGGAAAGTGCGGAAGTATTCTCGTAGAGATTTAGGTCGGTTGATGGCGGTACTGAAAATTGGCCGAGTGCCACGGGCGAAGGGACTGACTGCCAGTAGAATGATACCTCTCTTGAGCGACTAATGGGAGCGTTGTTCCGCGCGATTATGGCGTCCCTTTAAAGTCGGTGAACGCTGCTGTAGCTGAAGTCATCATCAACGATGTTAGAAACACCCATCTGTTGATGATGTCCGTTAGAAGTCCAGATTAGTTTTCTGCCGAATTTTAGCACTCCCCGAACCACCAGCCGTGGATAGCTCTTGAAGGTTGTAGTTGGTACAGTGTGTTCTCGTGAAAAGTCCCTCATACAAAGGACCACCTCGCTTTCTTTGTGGGCTTGCATGAGACAGTACATCATCAAAAATGCAAATGCTCTTCCAGAACGTGGGTCGACGGCCAGTATACTCCCCACTACATAAAGAAATATCTCTAAAAGTGGGATTGTCATGGCCTTTTTGTAGATGAAGGCAAACTCCCTTAGTACTTTTACTGGTAATAATTAGAGGGAGCATTGGCAAATGCCCTCTTAATGACGTTTTGGGCCCGACGAAAGAATTCGTTGTTGTTCATCTTACGTTTTCCCAGGCATGGTTCTGTCACCGATAATCCACGCTATAGGGAACAGTTTATTAATGTTGTTATGTTACTTTCTGTATTTCAGTAACGTTTGTTTTTTAATATTGTCCCGTGTCTGTTGAATGTGTGTTGGCATTCAATTCGTCTCCCTCCGAAACTGAGATAGCACCAACTATCCCTAGACAGACTACTGTACAGCACATTTAGTAACGTTAATGTTTTTAACTCTTGGAACAATTCGTTTATCTGTCTGGCATACAAAACGTTGCCAATCTGGAGAAACTGTAGCCGTTTGATGTTTCCATTTTCAAATTTTTTTTATTGTTCGCCTCCTTGTAACAAATAGGGAGTTCAAAGGTTTAACACCTATATTTCCCTCAAATAAACTGAACTGAATACTTGCAACAACTCAGGCAACAGTGCCTCGGCTGCCACTTTGCGTATTCGTCCAAAGCCAGAAACTGTCCCGACATTTTCATCACACACACACACACACCACGATAGAGGGAAGTGGTAGAATGTTGCGAGTGTTTCCTGCGTATTCGTTTACGCCTCGTAATTCTCGGTATTTCAAAGCAGACTGCTCTAATTTCGAAGGCATTGGTAACTTTACCCCCTTTTGTCCTATTTTAAGCACCTGAATTGGACTGCTCATTTTTGACTTCGGCCAAATCAAACTTAGATGCTTACGAAGTCCATGTTGGGCCGATCGACGGTGGGGGGGGGGGGGGGGGCTTAGTGACCAGATGTAGACAGCGCAAGTCAGCCATGCACTTACTAGGCCAGATCACGTGATGGTGACAACCCCACTCGGAACGATCAGGAGACTAGCTAAGGTAATTCGATAAAGGACGAAAATGAGTAGGCGTAAAGACTTGAGGAGTAGAGCGATGGACCTGTAGACCCAACACTCTTTTGAATTACCATCGGAGTTGTCCCATTGGCCAGCGACGATACCTACGTGATCTGGTTTTCGGATGCTATATTTAGTAGATTGGGTGATCGGTTTAGCAACCAGTCAGTTACTTCGTTATAGATTAGAACTGATACAACGTCTGGAATTTTACCGGTGGTTGTTCTGTGCGCGACGCTGCCTATTATGGTAGGTGCTATTCTTCAGATCTGGCTTGGAAATTTACCCAGGATGGTCGGAAGTCTACCCTTATTACGGGGGGTTTCTAACTCCCATGTCCCACCTATTGCATTCGGCGACGTTGGCTTCCTTGTCCCTAAACTTGCTGTGTGACTTGAATGGTTGGTAAAGATAGGGTTTAGGACCTACAAGTGGACGGCGGCTTCAAAAATATAAACTAAAATTTGGTGTGACTGTAAACGCCACTTATTATTCACCGTTCCTATTATTTGAAATTTCCTTCCCTTCCCGACCAAATGTCAACTTACCAGCGGTACGTTATTCGAAAGGCAATTTGGCGAGTGTACGTCTGCTTTAGATAAATCCTCCTTAGGTCTGTACATTTATATGGCTATTTAAGTAATGAATTAAAAGATACGGGCAAGTAGATAAGTAAGCTGTAGCTCGGGTTTGGAGAGGGGAGGGGAGGGGGAGAGTGAAACACTACAATTCCAGTCAGCGCCAGGGAGAAGGTTGGCCCCGGCGAAGGTAATTACATGCGGGTGGCTCTCTTGGCGGCTTTGAACCATGGCAACTGTAGGACCTGTATGAAGTTATCCTGTGCGCGTTGGACCGGTCCGTGTAGCCTGATTGCAGCCGCCTCTGCCGTAACCAACAGGCGCTGCCCAATTCCTATGCGCACAGAAGAACTTCATACAGGTCCCACGGTTGCCATGGCTCAAAGCCACCAAGCCAGCCACCCGCAGGTAATTACCTTCGCCGGGGCCCACCTTCTCCTTGGCGCTGACTGGAATTGTAGTGTTTCACTCTCCCCCTCCCCTCCCCTCTCCAAACCCGAGCTACAGCTTACTTATCTACTTGCCCGTATCTTTTAATTCATTACTTCAATAGCCATATAAATGTACAGGCCTGAAGAGAATTTATCGGTGGCAAACGTATGCTCGCCAAATTGCCTTTTGAATTTTACAGTGGGAATTCTCGCAACTTTATTCAAAGTCCGTTATTTTTCGAAAATTGCTTTTTGTTTATTTTTCACTTAGCGCGCTCACTTTCTTTACCAGATAACAGCGTACGATAAGATCATGGCAGAAATGTATCTATTTTCTGCGTCACCTTGCTTTCCGTCCTGTGTGTTGCCCCACCCATAAAGCCTCCTCTACCACCATTCAACTCTAGACACGGTTCACAGGCTGGCTGTAGTTAATTGTGGGTGGCAAACCCTCTCGTTGCCGGATACTTGGTGGAGGAAGAAAGTAGTCAAGGTCGAGTAGACGTGAGGGGTAGGAAGATCTGACAAGTCGACGATGGGTGTGTAAATCCGGTACCCCCTTACACACTCAACTTCAAAACACAAAATAACCTTGTCCATCAGAGTCGTCCTGTTGGCCTCTTTGATCTGGCCTTCACGAGTTATTTGAATATGTTCACGTCTGCCCTCAAGGGAATAATTGTTTTACGACATTATTATTTATAAACATTGTGCGTATACGTCGGCTTTTTACACTGCTTTCGGGGGAGCTCTTTTAGTAGAAAAGGGTGGCTATTACATGGGAGCCTCGTTCGCGAATATATTTTGATTGCAGCACAGAATACGGGTGTTACATGTAGCTTTGGAGGCCAGGCCTACGCGGCCACGATTCATAGAAAACACGATGAGGCTTTTACAGTCTTCCTGACAAATTCGTGATTTGTCTATAGTCCCCACCACGCGGCTCTTTCAGCCCATGCAGCGTTCTGCGTTGGGTAGAAATAACCACAAGATTTGGAGCAGGTAGAATGCTCGAATCTCTAAAAACAGATCTCTCCTTGGTTGTTTATCTGGCCAACAATAGATGGGATCTGTTCCAAATGTTATCATGTATTTTCAATGATCCTATGTACGTAATCATCTATCTAAGCTACGATCACTAGCAGACGTTTTTCGACGCAACGAGGAAACGATACGTAATCTTTGCCGTAAAAGCGTATTCGCGAGAGACGTGTTGACACACGGGAATCTATCTTGACTTCAGACCGCTCTTTCAAAGTATTGGAGCTTAATTCTCCAGAATAGTGCTGCTGTCCTTTGGATCTCCAATTTCTCGGAGCAAATAGTCCCCTTCCTCAAACAACCTTTCTTGCAACCCCCTGAAACCGTACGTCGACCGTCATATTGTGTGTCGTTGCCGATCGCACTTGTTTGGGCATGATCTTGATACNCAGTTAGAGACCTTCATTCGCCCAGTTCATTTAATCGCTGCCGTTATAACCATCTACCTGGAAACCAACCCCTCTTACCGCGCAACTGAGCCCTTCTATATATATTCGCATATTTTTATATTTGAATTTTCGTATCGCCTTTTGTTCGCACGCCGACTGCATTTATTGCTAATAATAAACAGATTATTTTACTAGCAAGATTCGCGCTGCTCACCACTGTTGGCTTTCAATCTTTGTCATTTGTGGACGAGGGACGAAGCCTGCACTAATATGTGGTTTTAGAAAGAATTCAGAGCTACTATGATGAAGATAAGGCAGTCTGGACGTGACCCTGCCTGCGAGGGTTCTAGTATGAGCCCCAAGGCACAACGGAACGAGCACGTTCCGTAACCCGATCAGTGAACGCCCACTGTCATAAGTGACCCTGTCTGTTTGAAGGCCTGCCTCTCATTGCCTCTTTGTTGAAGCATCTGCGTAATAGGTGCGGTGAGACGTGGTCCACGTGGCATGTCATCAAAGAGACGCAGTTAAAGTTTTCTGGGCGAGTGAACTGCGATAGCCGATGGTTTCCTCCTATCAACAGTCATCTATCACCGAAAAAACCTGATCGGGGCCGATCGTTTGAAGTAACTTTTAGCTAAATTTTGATAAATCAGAAAACCGGTCGATCTGTTTTCGTATATGTTATCTGCTTGTTTAGGTGGGACTCGGAAACGCTCTCCTGCTTGGTCAACAAATCACAACTTTCATGTCCTTATTGATTTCGACAGGTGGTCAGCATTTGTCTCTTTCGTACTATTATTGATTTCAGCAGGGGTGGTACTTTTCGCGGGCACCTTCAGTTTGAGGTGCCTACCGGGCTGCTGCGATTATAATTCACAACTACGTCGGGGTTCGGGTTTTACGGTTATGATTTAAGGTTTAGGGTTTGGGATTGGGGTTAGGGTTTTCGGTTAAGGCTTAGGTTCGGTGTTTGGGATTTAATGTTAGTGTGTTTGACTCGAAAGGCATTCGGCGCACACTTCCTACAACGTCTTCTACAGTTTGCTTTTGTTTGGCCACATCCTTGGGCGGTTCCGTTTCAATTACCTTGACAGGCCAATCACCCTCATTCGCGGGTTTGGTTTTACAGGTTACCTGCAGTGAGTTTTTGTATTACGCGGTGCCTGCGTTGAGATTTATTGCCCACTGAAACAAACTAACATACTTACCTATGATACCCGTGTTTTCTTAGTTTTCGCGCATTCTTCGCTACTTTCCCACAGTCCCACCCGTAAAACCTGCCACGTCTCCCATATTGGACGCTCCTGGACTGTCCCATTTCCCAGCGGGACTGCTTTTCCGACCCTTACGCCTGTTTGCTCCTCAATCAGGTTTCGAACTTTTCATTGGTGCTCCTCCTGAGTTAGTGTGGGGCGGCCCGTCGTGTGCGTATCAACCCACTTAGAACAGCATTATATTATGACCAGTTTTTTTTTCAAATTATTTCGACGAGAGTGATTTTTAGGACTGCGCAATGGAGTCGGCCTTGATTTTATTTCGCAAGAACCCTGCTTACTTCCTAGTCTGGTAGTTCAGGATAGATCTCCAAAAGTTTGGTATCTCAACCTACTTCAAAAGTGGCACGGCAGCTTCCCTATTTGGTGAACTCGTAGTGACACCGATTCGTATTACTGCTAGGCAACGAAGGCCCCTCTTAAGACGCGAATTGGACTTGGGGCTATCACCTTTTTCCTGTCTGTTCCAGTGGGTATGTTCTGTCACTCGCGAACAGGTGGGCGGTAACGCATTAAGTGCGTAATTCTCATGCCGAAACTGATGCGAATGAAAGTTGCCATCCGCGGATCAGCAGAACGTGTTTGTGGTTATTTGACAACGAGCCTGTGCTAGTGATCTAACAGTAAACTGTCATACTTTTAATGAGAAATCTGTGGCAAGCAGAGCCTTATTACGCGCCGCTATGTGGCTGCTGGTTCGGCTCGAAAGAGAGCCCCAAGACAAAACGGGACGATCTATTGGCTTCGTGAAGCAAACAAGCTCCGTTTGGGTGGCGAAGTTGATAAAGCGCTTATGACCCATCTGGTATATCCTATCGGTGGACCAGCTGCGCCAGTGTCGGCTGCAGCTCCTGGCGACCGCTCTACCGAAGTCAGTTCTAGTCGGTGGTCTTACAGAAACGCTCCTTGGCATGATGTCAGACCTCAAACAGTTGTGTAGAAAAGCCAATTGTTCATATGTAGATTCCTGTCCACAGGAAAATATTTCCCAGCGCCGTGCTCAGCGACGCGTTTCGCGCCAGGACTTATGATGGATGTAGGTGAAAATGCTGATTCCAGGTGTTGAGATGGAAGAAGAAGGTAAAGAGATCTCTGGCTTCATAGGTTGTCGGTCGATTCTGGGCGAGATTCTCCTAGGTCGCCAGATTGACTTGTAAGTACTTTAGAAAGTTCGTCAGGATGCCCTTGCAGTGGCGTGTTGACATTTTCAGCGAGCACCCGTAGCGGCACCTCCGTAGAAGAGTTATTTTCGTTGTAACTCACTGTCCATTCTCACGAAGTGACTACTTCATCGCAGCTCAGGATCCCGACCCTTCCCGAGATTTCCATATTGGGAATTCTGTCCCGTCAGATCGTCATTAAAGTTTCTCGGAGACAGCTGAACTGAAAGTTATTGAGTCCCTGTCTTGGCGGTTCCACATAGATGCCTGCAGCCGACCACTGACCCAATGGCTTTGGAGATCCGGCGGGTCACTTCGTCAAGGGTTTTGATGCTGCGTGAGAGTGCTGCTTAAATAGGCAATATTGTTCACAGTCTTGAGTTTGCTGCCGTTTACAGTAATGAGAGGGACGAGGGGTCCATCACCCTCGCAGAGAACATGAGGATGAAGAGGGTGGAGACGAGTACCCAGCCCTTTCTCACTCCGTTGGTTAACGCAAATGTTTCTAATACTATTCCATTGTCTGTGAAACTTGCCATCATCCTGNTTAGAGACCGTGTGAGGATGTCACTCAAAAATGTCCTTTTTGACCTACCATGGTGCACAAATGTCTTTTGGTGAAGATCCACATTTAGCCCACCACGCGCTGCAATTCTCTTGACTTGACTGGCATTATGTTATGAATATGTGAATTTCTTTCAGAGACGCTGCAACCGCGATGGCTTTTAAATTAAGTATTTAGGATATTATTTAAAGGTATTAATTTATTAGACATCTCATCCTCTATCTTGATATTTCTGCTGTTAAAATTTCAGTCACATTCATTTTGTAATTTTCTTTCTCCCTAGTGTTTTCTATACACTTACTACTATCTCATGTTTTTCACTATTTGATATTTGGGAGGACTGTATTGATAAATGTTCACAGTACATGAGCATGGCTTGAACAAGAGTCTGCTGCTCAACAGACCACATTCTCAACATTGCGTTGCAGTCTAACGTCATGTCTTCCGAAATGTGAAATTTTAAAACTTAAATTGTATTATTTGTACAAGTATCGACAGGTGTTCGGTGGTTAACCTCAACTTCACTTACGGGTCTTATGTGTCGTCTGATCCGAAGTTTGTGAACAATCCATTTTTTGTCTTACAGTTTGTGAAATAAATATACCTGGAGAGTCGGTGGGTGTTAATTTACCTCCCGATCAGTTACAGACTGATCTGTGTAGTTTCGTTATGAGGAAGCCAGATATTCTGTTTGGGCCATGACGTTGCATTTGCTCTTTAATTAATTGGAACAGTTCAGCAAGAGCCTCGAAATATTATGAAGTCTGAATTCGGAATTTTGAATCGCGCTGCTTTCTTGAATCCTGTTTACGCCCTTCACATATTTAATGTTTCGTTAGTTTTTTCTCATATGACTATTGCTCATGTGTATAGTGGTTCATCTATATCACCTTTCTCATGGTGTTTCGATTAAATGAATAAGTTTATTGATGCTTCTTGCACGCTAAATGGACGAAGTTATGGTTCCTCTTTTTGCCACACAGACAGACGCACATACGTTCATAGAGACTATTTTAGCAAGTGGATAAATATTATTTTCGTGAATTTCTGCCTATCCTTTCTGTTCTTTGTAATTTCGTAGTTTGCCTATCGTGAGTACTCACGCAACAGAAGCCTAAATGTTCCTCTATCTGATGAGTCATCATCTGATGTCATTCACAGTTTGCTTGGCACTTAGACTCGTTTGGCGGAATTTTCTTTACTTTGGTTATGTCGGAATGATCTGCTTATACAATGATATGCCATGCTCATTCGGAATGACTGGCAAACGTGTTCATATTTCGATAAATATGTCAGTAGCTGACAACATGAATGCATGCAGTCACTACCCGAACAGTATTTAGTCATGTGTGTTGGACACCTGTGCTTAACGTGCAAATATATTTATTGACCGTCATCTAAACATAGGCAGGTTTCATAGGGATCCGCGTGGCCTAACAAGCAAATTCATGGCTTTGGCTGAATAAGCATAGTTAATACAAATTATTTCAGCAATCTAAGTAATCGCTGTTTATCAATTGCTTAAGTGTTTAATGAGTTTGGAGGAATTGTTCCTTCGACATAAATGCTGAAACATTTACAATCAAAACCGTTAGTTGCGTACTCGCATTCAGGCGTTCATTAATTAATAAACAAACAGTTTCTATATACCAAAGTCTTTTAACCGGTTTGTCATTTTGTAGCAATTGAGTCATGAGAATACTCGAAGTGTATATGTAAGTGGTCCATTCCCTCACGTTCAAAGTGCATTGGGCTCTAGTATTAATTCGTAATGCGTGAGACGGCATTACAGCGGATGTTGGTCGGAAATTATTGATTCTCAGTTTAACAGGAATTTAAATAAGTTTATGAGCATGGTATGTCATTTAAGTGTAAAGTTGGACATGTATGGCTCTTAATTATGCCGACGACCTGGTTTTTGTTGAAACCGATGCAGGGCTTAGCATAAAATTTTTGGGGCTCCACCGTTACTACCGATGACTATTTTACATCCTTGAGTTTAAATTAACTTGGCGTCTTCGATGGTAAGGAATGAAAGTAATGGTCGATGGACCGGACACTGTGCAACACTTGGGTCAGATGTTCTCAACCACTTTCGAGGATCTAGCTGAACGTTGGCAAAAACCTAACAGTTTCCTCTTTTATAAACTAAATGGATAGGGCGAAAAATGACGCTGAATTTGAGAGCCTTAGTATGGTATAAAAACTGGCAAGTCATGCCTGTAAACACAGGAAATGCAATCAATATTTCTAATGAATTTTAGTTGCATACAGATGCCATACAAGAACTTATAAGACATCGACGCAGTACTTTTAATTCATGTTACAGTAAAACGACAAAACACCTGCATATTTTTTGAATACTAAAGCAGCGTACTGCAGTGCCGTGAGGGATAGCGTCCAATGCATAATATCCGGCCGTATGTTTACAGAGCCCGTCACTCAGGATCGATGATCTTTTCCCATATAACATTCTTAATATGAATCTAATTAAAAGAAGGAGGATTTCGTTTGATTTTGCTTAAGCGACTTACGGACAGAAGCCTCAGCATGTTCAAATGTTGACAGGAAGTTGAGAGAACACCAAATTGGAGTAGACATGTCAACTTCGATCGTAAGTGCATCACGTTTCATAAATTAAGATGAGAGTTATCCGGCCAAATTTATTCGCAGTTTTTTCAATTGGTAAAGTAAATTGACTTTTAGATCGTCGTTGGGATAGTAGTGAACACTTCGCGATCTTCAGTGTACTCAGTCGACTACCTATAAAGGCATGTTATGTACTATCTATTTGGCAAAATCTTTATAAAAACTTTTGGAGAGCAGTCCCTGAAATTGCGAGTGTTTATGCGATCTTTTTTATGGCTATGGCCTATTGGTTCACGTTTAAATGCTCATTAGAACACAAAACATAACTTTCAAAAGATGAATATTTACTAAAAAACTGAGGACGCCTCTAAGGTCTCTCCCCGATTGTTTTTTTTTTCAAAGCGAATTTCTTATCGGTTTTGCTAATTACTGATATTTGCGACTACACCCCATTACGATATTATTGTATTGGCTTTATGATAATTCATGGAATGCAAACCAATGCCGGTGCGCAGTACACATCCCTCACTTTTGAGAAGTCCCTAAGGGCGTTTTTTCTCATTAGACTAAAAGTGACACTCAACCGTCTACCCAGTGGTCAGATACCGTCTTGTGTCGTCTGCCTGAGATTTTTACCAAAACAGAAGCCCTCAAATCGGTCATTCTGAGTATAATATGTCCGTTACAGCAGTATTATGTTAGGCACAGAATGCCAATTCATGAACAATCTGCAATTAATGAATTGGTCAAACTCTTATCAAGTTTTCTTTTTAAAAGCGGACAATTGCGCATTATGAAATCTATTTACTAATAGAGGAATGTACTATCACACATGCCCAGGTTGCCAAATGTAATACGTAAAACGCAAAACGTTACTTAAAAGACAACAACCTTCCCGTTATATTAGAAAATAATAAGATTAATTGTGAATCTCCCAGGCATAGTTGAGAACTGCCGTCATGATTGCTCAGAAAAGTGACTTCCTTAATTCGCATGTTAAGTCATCCATTTTATCGAAAGACACGCGCGTGAGATTCACGCTCCCGTGTATCGTCCATCTTGCCCACAGAGTAAGGGATAAATATTCACTTGTTAAGATGCTTTTCAAAATCATTTTATCTAGATTTGGAAGGTTCAGTTGTGTAATCTGAATGTTTGCTTTGCCTTGAGGCGTGGATTTTAAAGCAACTAATGCATCCGCGTGGACGTCAGAAATGTCGAACTTGTATTCATTTTGTCGATGCAGAACACTGGGATTCGTATGAACATCTAAGTCCTAAAAACACAGCGATCTTATATTAAATGACGGATTTTGCATAAACTCAGTATAACAAGGAAGGTACTTATCTTTGTGGAGAACATAACAGATATCGATGGAAATGAACAAGAACAGTCAAACACAGCGAATTTTATTTCTGCGAATGCATTCAAGACTGAACAACCCTGAACAATTGCTGGATCATGGAACTGGAAAGTGGAGATCGTAAGGAGTGTCCTCTTAAAGGGCGTTTTATGCCTCAGTAAACGCAGGGATTTCAAGAGATGTTCAACCATTTGATTAAGGCCTCCATCAGCATCGGAATAACATTATTGTATGTTGTCTATATAGTTAACGAATTTTCTTTACCAAATGTAGTATTTATGCTCAAGTTTGAATATGACATAAAATGGCATGTAAACGTATTTATGCCAAAGGGTTTCGTTCAAAAATAAAAAAATAACAGATAAACTCCGTTAAATACCAGTCAAAGTGTGACGTCTTCTTAAGCAGCAAAGTTTAGTTACCAGTTATGTTTGCATGAAGCGTATTGCATGCTTTTCCCTTGATACCAAAGCATACCACAGCCAATTGAATGAACATCAGAATTTGATTTCTCCTACATCCACGGTATTGTGACATTCCTGCATGCATCATTGATCAAAAGCGGACGTTATGCTCAGTGAAGAAATTCGTCTTTAGCGATCGTGGATTTAAGTTGACAACGTGTATAAATAGTTCATACGTCAGCAAAAATTATTTGCTCTTCATAGGTTTATGTAGTTATATCATTTGCACTACACACGACCTGTTGTGCGCAGGGGTTGATAGCTTTTCCGACCTGCCTGGTGAGGATAGAGTTCATGCAACTTTGATTGGCAGCGGTTTACCCAGTCAGTCAGACCAGTTAATGGGTTTTCGCAAAAACAAATCATAAGCGATATCAGTATTTAGTCGCACTAGTCGAGACACTACATTAAGACAAAGAATATGTGGCAATGCACGCAGTATCAGCAAGGATGCAAAAATGGGCAGAAAGATCTCGGCGTATTCACTAAAGGCGATCTGAGGGCCACAACACAATGTTCTAAAGTCGCAGCAGTCATGAGCAGGATACGTAGAACGTTTATAAACTTGTACGCAGATGCCTTTGGCAGGTACCTTGGATGTGCGGTACAGACTTGACGTCCGTGGTTTCGGAAGGATATATATATATTGTTGAACATGTCCTTCGACGTGCTAAAAGCTGTTCATGAGCTCAAAAATAGAGTTCTAGCAGCGACTGACCTCCTTGAATATCTATTTCCTCCACTACCGACAGACATAGGAAACCTCACAACAACGTATCACTTGTTAAGCGAACATGGTCTTGATGTGGACTGATAAACGCTTTTTTAAATGACACCAAATACCCATCTCAGAATACACGATTACCAGCTTAAAAAGGAACTGTGCCACACAAATCAACGTCCATCCTTTTTCTCGCAAAGGGTCATTTGTAATGGAAGTTATTGTCCAAATATGTTGTTAAGTCTTCTACTATGAGTATGTTCAGGAGACATCTGGATAACCGTCTGTTAAAAAGCAACCCGAATTCCCATGCACGATCTCACGGATTAATACAATGACTAGAAACATACTACGAACATGAATTCAGCACCACCTTTTTGTGCATTAACCTTGTCCGATATGAAGATATTCGCAGTGCGAATACAAGGAACGATTATTTTGCATTTTATCCTAAATGTCATATCTTTGTCACAGTTTTATTTTTCTCTCAGAACTAATCGTTTCGTATAAGAAAACGGTATGCAATAATTTTGAAATTTAACAATTTACATTAGAACCTGTACTGTTTAAATGGAGTTTTCGAGTCTTCTGTTATTTGCTATAACAATACTGACTCATACTGACTGACAAATGGCGCATGTGATTGTCTAGACAGCCAGTAATTTAAAACAATACTTATTGCACACAAACAAGTTATTCCGACTAAGTAAACTTAACACAGGAACACGAAAGTAGACTGAAGATACTCAGACAAAGCATGCGGTTGATGATGGCATATACGAACACTCAGACGAACGTAAGGGTTCATTTAAAAGACTTGTTTACTCCGCATGGCCAAGATACTAATCAGGGACATAGGAAGTCGTCATTTGCTCCGTACATCTGTCTGAAATGAATCCCGGTCAGCTGTGTAATCACTAAGTCTCTGAAAAAGTTACTTCATGCAAGTACTTTCTAAGTAGATATGCTTGACTGTCCGTTCCAGCAAACACATTGCCTTAAATATTGGCGCTTTCACATGTTTTTCCCCGAAACACTTGTCATTCATCTACGTACACTTTTAATAAGGATAAGGAATTTGTTTAAGTCTTGGCCACATCATTTGCGAAATGCTTTTGCGGGAACGTCGGTTGTGTGCAAAATTCAAAACCCAAAAACATAACCCACAAATAGCGGCTGCCTTTCTTAGCACAAGTGAGCGTCTCGCACCATACCAATCCTTACTATCTAGCCATTAGCTGCAATATCTTATTATTAGTGGGTCCCGTTTATTTAAAATAAATGCTTATTTTTTGTGAGACGTTTTCTATTCCCCAGCAATGGCTTTTTTGTGTATATTTGCACCGTTAGTGGCCAAATTTGCATAGGAACAGGGGGCACACGGCCAATTTCACCAATCTTCGGTCAATGTGCCAAGATATATTAACCAATCTTCGATAGATCTTCAGTGAGTGGGTGGCACTTCTAGGCAAAGGTTTTTCAGTGATATCCTCTAATATCATTGTCATTTATGAGTAAACGAGCATACCAACGTGCTTTACAGATGAGGCATTTGTGAGGTGAATATCTGAACTTCAACTGAGCAAAGATTTCAAAATGGAGCGCACAGCTAATGTGGGCTGGCTTGCCGCTCAGCTGTTAGTTTTATTGGAGACGTATCGATTTACGGCATTTTAAACGCCTCCAAGCCAAATAAAGAGAGATCATCCGACAAAATTAAGCCTTCTAGTGAACTACCAGGCTATATTTTGGTCTTATTTGAAAATTTCTGCCGCGTTTCATACTGTAAATATCTAAAATGTGAACTGTAACTTTGACGATGATCTGATTTCTGCGNCCAGTTACGCGCCTGCAGATATTCCTGTGGCATGCACGCAAGTGCACACCACGGTTGTTGATTTGTGCCGTGATCTGCCCACGTCGCCTTGTTAGTAGTATTCTTTAGATATTCTCGATTCAGTGCTGGTTTATTCACCGGAATAGACGCACCCGAGGTCAACGCTATGTCAGAAGACAGTCGGGATAACTCGGTTCTTCTCTGTGGTTCAATAGCAGTAAACAGTAAGATTAACGGAGGCGGGGAATAAATTGAAAAGTGGACGTACATTCGAGGTGATTAGACGAGCAGTCAGCGAGTGACGCCAAAGTGTGGTGGTCGGTTTAAAGGCGAGCGGCGACAAATACCAATAGGCAATGGACAAAGAACAATGAACAAAGCATAACGGGAACGGACGAAAAGGGGTACAGAGACAAGGCCAGGGTGATATTAGTAAAGTCTGGTTACTAACAAACGGTTAGTAGCAAAAAGACAAGAATGGACATTGGCATCAGGGATGTTACAGCCTTTTGCGCTCCTGCCGCGTCATCCAGCTAAGCCATCATTCTAGACAGTTAGACCCGCCGGGCAGAGTTCGGGCCAAGGCTGACCGGCTATAGCGAGTCTTGACTTTCCAATCGCTCCTCCCCCCACCCCGCCTCGTCAGAGAAAATTCGACGGCATCCGTGAATGATGCAACACCGAAGGTTCTGCTCGTACGTTGTTTGTTGAACCTTGGGTGCCAAATTAAAACCGCTTGTTCGTCAAACCGTGTTGCGCGGGTGTAACTCCTGCAGCCCCGGGGTTCAAAGCGGGGGAATAGCAGGCTGACTTCAGTACCTCTTGTTCGATCACCCAGTCCCATCACCAGTGCTGGGCACGCCGCCGCACGCACCAAACGCGACCGTCCAAGAAGACAACCAACCCAGATGGTCTCACTCATGACATTGCATAGAGGGAGAGAGAGAGAATTCGCCTAGAAGTTCGGACCCTACTCGCTCGAGAGGTATTGACGTAAAAGACAACGAATAATGCAGCAGCCATTCCGACTAATCGGCTGTTGTCAGCCGATTATACTCACTCAAGCCAATTCCAGGGCAAGCAAAGGACAGACAGTCATGTAGGAAGTTGTGTAAAGTTGGCTATTCCTGCATCATCTTTTGGCATGGCCTCCCTCGGCGAACTAACGGCCCTGTTAAACGTACTGACTTCGTCACATTGCTATACTTCTTAATCCTGTGACTTGTACATGATTTATCTAGAGGTAGGAATCTTTAGTTGGCTTTACCGGTTCCCCTAACATTGCAAAGGAAAGTATCCTTAGGGCTGATACCATGTTAGTTCTTAAATGGCAGCGATCAACCGTTTACGTTTAATTATCAATTTTTCGGGACGCTACTCGAATCTGGCGCTCAACCCAGGTTAAGACTACTTGGCCTGCTTGAACTACCAGGTAAACTCGTTCTAGTCTTCAGCTTACGTTTTGCTCCATAGGCTTGCTGCCGAGATGTGGCCAGCCGAAAGAGCAAATGAGGGTTGCACGGTTGTGTGCGCCTTCACTCGTGTATCCCCCTAATATCTTAAAATTCTCGATGTTATTAATGATGACACTGTAGCCTCCACCATGTTGCATATTAACTTTGCACGGTCGAGGCCGCCTTCCTGTCTTAAACGTCCAATGGTGTCTTTTAGGAACGTATGAAATTATACCCTACTACACAAAGGTGGCTACGTCCCTAACCCCTCCGGCATCTTCGAATGCTCCAAGGCGCTCTTCTGACGGTGGTTCTAAGTATGGTTTCGTTTAGGTAAGCGATTTTCGCTTATTGCGCTCAACTTAAGCTATATGGAAACTTGGAGAGTTTCGTTAGACTGGCTTTTTACACCTTACGAGATAGGAACCTTGCCCCAACTCTTAGCCAACTTATACATGGCGGACTGAAGGCTTGACTGCCGTCTGTCTAGCTCCATCACTCCATTTTAACATTTCCGGTAGTAAGTTCAGTAAGGAACGGAAGTAGGATCTCCCGGCAATGCGGGTGACCTTGCGGCAAATTCGGGGACGGATACCTATTC